CATAAAACATTACTGACAAGAAAACTGCACTTAAAAGTTGACCAACCCAGACTCCTGCAGGCTCTGAACATGTACTTTGTGAAACAACGCAAATACAAAATATTCTGAAAGCCTTGCTTTCTACTGGGATGTCTAGATATACTATTTAGACTTCTAATTTTACAAAAGAAACATGTTCTGTGGGTTTTAAGCAATCTCTAATTTTTAATCAAGGCAACATTCTCTGTAGCCTGATACGCAGGGGGTTTTGTTTTGTTTTAAACTGTTGTCTCCTCGATCTCTCAACAAGTGGATCCCCATCGTCCGAGCAGCTAGCAGGACACCATGAGGCCGAGGCAACCGATGTAATTGCAGAGGACAGTGTGCAAGTACCTGATGCTGAATGAATGTTGCACATTTAAAATACCAGGCATCACTCCAGCTTCTGAGGGAGCAGTACGTACCACTGTGCACTCCTGCAAGCTTCAGTCATGCTCTACAGCAGAAATTACTGTAAAGCATTCAGCCTTCCCATTTTTTGTTCCATGTTTTTCCTAAGACAAATTTTTAGGGATGAAGAGTCCAGCGCACGACGTCTTTCATTGTACGTTGCTAATTATCTACCTAATTATTTACTTGTACCATAGGAAGAAATGCTTGAAATTTAATGAGTAGATAACAACAATAAATAGTAAGTAATATTTGCTTTTGTTCTGCGTCTTAAAGTAAGAAAAACAGGTGAGTTTTTAGTTCTGTTATTGAAAACAGCACTTACTGTTATACCTCTAAGGCTTCCAACCATGGTCTGTAGATCAGACTGGAGATAACATTCTGCCATAATTTTAAATATTTGGTGGGGTGAGGGGAGAAAAAAAATGCATTTAACTACATCACCAAAACCTGTGTGTATGCGGGTATTAAAAGCTGTAGCTTTTCCTGAAAGTTTTGATATGAATAAACAGATGTCCAGTTTCACAGAATCTCTGAGAACACATTCTGCATTACTTCAGCAAGGGTTAAGTGTTTTAACACATACATTGTTACTTAATATGCTATGTTAACATGCTTTACAGTACTTAACACACCATGTTTAAATTCTAAGCTAAACAAATCCTATTTCCAGAGCACTCAAATCTACACCTATGAAGAAGGTTGCATTTTCAGGTAAAGTTAAATATCACTAACTTAGAAGTGTAATTTGTTCACTGTGTATATACCTATTCTCTCTGATGAGATAGTATATTGGTAGAGATCGACACAAATAAACCCAGAAACTCATGAACTTAAACAATCCCTTTAATATATCAAACATATCCGACTTTCAAATATAAACTGGAACCAACTAGCAAAAGAGAAACTCCAAACAACTTTCTGCATGCCAAAAAGGGCTTATGCAAACCAGTGCACGTTTATTTGAGGTATCGTATCCATGAAAACAAAACAAAACAAACCGAACTATCTACATTTAAAAAGAATTTTTACTTAGCAAGGCCAAAGAAGTTAGGTGGCACATACAGAGTAAACAGATGTAAACAGCATAAAAATAAAGAATGTTAACACCAACCAACCCAAAACTTTGGTTATGAAAACTGAAGTAATCCAATATATTAATGAAAAATAAACCAGGGGCATGCAAATTATTGTTTGTTAAAATATGCTCAGCCATGTGGCTACGTGAAAGTCACAAGCTAGTGAGATGGATTTAGAAATGCAGTTTCCCTTCTTTCTTTATTTTCCTTAGACTGATTGTCATTCAATTTTCTGCTGAAGCAGAATGGCTGATGAAAAGCTTTCAGCCTTCTTCAACACACCGGTAACTGAATTTTTGAAGACTCCAAACGGGTGTTGCAAAGGAAGTTTAGGTAACTGTGTTTTTATGATACAGCATGATATACAACCTCGCTCAAATGCTACAAGCAAATGGTGCATGGTCTGTTACCATTCTGGGAGGCAAAAGCTTGGAGAACAGTCAAGTTGCTCCAGACGGAATCAAAAGGTTTTCAAGTTTCTCCTCACAAGAGCCATGACAATCTCCATGGTAAATTAGGTAAGCCACTTAAAATTTTATTTGCAACACAGAGTATTTTGGCAACCAATATATGTTACAGGCATCTGAATAGTGACCTGCAGTGCATGTGCTTTTCAGAAAAATCAACTTTTGTTTCAGATACGCATCAGGACCCTAAACTGCGTGAGGCTTTTCACGTTGAAGTAACTGTACTGATGCCATCAGTCTCAGATGCACCTACAGGTCCTTCTTGTCTTCTGCTTCATTTAAACTGTCCTGAAAAGAAACAGATTAAAAATATTTTTTTTATGTTTGGCAAGATCAGAAACCATTGACTCCAGATGCCACGTTTTGCCCCCTTGCAGTCATACCCAATTTGTTCACTCTAGACCCTTCGAAGTTGTAGTCCCATCAATACTACCCCACATAACATGTGCGCTTCTGCTGCTAGTACAGTAACAGCCAGGCAGCTGCCTCCTGCTCCCTGTTCATGTTACAGCTGCACTGTACAGCGAATGTTTTCTGCTACCAACTGATCTGTCCTCAGGAGCTGCATCTACTGTGTGCTCAGTACCTTCTGTTCTTTCCATTCAGAGGTAAACACAGGAAACTGTAAGGATATGTGTTCTAGACCACAAGACTGTAAGAAATGCAGCAGGACTACTATGGCTCGTTACACAGGGAAGCACAAAGATAGGACAGGTGTGGTGGTCTTAATTCAAACACAGGTATCAGCTGAGCAGTCTCTATAAGAGTATAGGGTGAAGCTGGGAATCAGTAAGCAGCTTCACAGAGTCCAGGGAAAAGATAATATCCAAGTCAAATTTGCCTTTTTTTTTTTTTTTTTTTCAAATTTTATTAATACAGGACCAACAAACAGCTCTTTTTGAAAAGCAGGTCACCGTAATTTTAACATCCATATTTATATTCTCCCAAGACTATTACTTGTAAACAGGCCAACTTTCATTTGTATTGAATTTTGGTTGAATTCTGAGGCAGATGTTAGACATGGAATATAAAAACACCTGTCAGACAACTTAAAAAACAAGCAGGGCTCCCACTTCTACCAGAAATAATTACTGTATATATTATGGGTATTATAGCCATGCACATATGCAAACCCAATCAAACTGCTAACTCAGCTTTTTCTTACTATGTTTCTTTTTTTACTTTGTACTTCAGTTTGATTTTTTATAGTAGCCTGTTTTTAGCCTAGGCTGTTTGTTTGTTTGGGGTTTTTTCTTTTTCTTCTTGCATATCAACAGTATTGCAACATTTATAATCCAGTATTGCAAAAGCATGTTTAAAGAGCAAACAAAATAAAATTACTCTTGTAATTGATGTATATACCACACACACACTACTCCTATCATTTTCTTACAAGATTTCAGTTTGATCATCACATGCAAAAGTATATGAATCTTATTTCCCAAGAGACTGGAAAGTTGAGTCTATTGATGACCTGAGCTTTGTCACCTGAAGTGCAAAAAAGAAAATGCTAATAACTTTGCTGTCCAGTCCTTGAAAAACAAAATTCTACTATTTTGGTGAAGTTTAAGGAGTGCTGCCCATTGTAACTTTATGCTATACTGAAGATTTTGGTAAATTCTCTTGCATAATACCCAACAAGCAGAATTTTTCTGGTACTATTTCAGAACATCATGCTCATATAGCGACCCAGAACCACCTACCTGAAGTCGTTCATATTCTTTCATCAGATGATCATAATCTCTTTTAAGGCCTCCACACTGCTTTTTCACTGTGCTCACTTCATTATTTGCCTTGTGGAGAGCTGTA